AAAATGGAACTATGATTAATTCATATTTGAAAAGAAAGTATAACTATTTAATTGTGGATGTAGATGCTGCTAATTGAACTGAAACATGTTACTTTCGTTACGAAGAGGTCGGTTTGTCAGGATTAAGGGGTTTTAATCACACTATCAGATATGGTAAGTGGACCTTATATAATATATGCAAATTCGCTTATCATATAATTAAAGCTTATAAGTGATGCTGACTTATATCAACTTTTTTGGCGTATTAAAACTTAAAAGTTCTCAAGTTGGACATTAACAAATGCTTTATGAAACCCTCTTGAAGAAAAGGACCCCTATGTTACTTCTAGCATTTGGCTTTTTCTTTGGCTTCCAAATTTATTAATATGCAAAGAGATATAAAATAATTCGTAATCCTTTGTCAAAACCAAAATCAGTGTATAGTTTATTTAATTTTTGGATTAAATATGATTTTGACCTTTTATTTAGTAATAATCGAAATTAATTTTTTTTTAAATTTTGGACTAATTTAACCTATTTAATTTTTTAATTAAATTTTGTTAAATTTATTTGATGTTTTAATTAGTTTCTCATATAATATTAAAGAAAACATGTCAAATTGTTTAAATAACTCAAATATTATTATAAAATATATTTAAAATGTTAAATAAAATTAATAAAATTTGATTAAAAAAATTCTACATATTTAAAGTTAAAGGAACTAAATTAAATAAAAAAAACTAATTTTAAGTTTTATTAAAAGTTAAAAAATAAAAACATATTTAATCCTATCTAAAAAAATGTTTCACATGATATAATCAATTTAATATCGTGAATATCCTCCAATCATGCACATTACTAAAATAGATTTAAAATGTCAAATATCAAACAAACACGTCATGAATGTTACGAAGCACTAACTCTTATTTCCATTAATTATAAAAATACATCAGAATTTGTGTGGTCAATTTAGCAAAAGTTAATAAGCAATTTGGAATCACTCGGTGTTTCAGTAGGGATGTAGGGACCAAGATACGAACCTAACAACCTTACTTTCTTCCTTCTCTGTGTTGCTGTCATTATGGTCGTCTTTCTGTCTCTCTTCTCAAAGCTCTAGTACGTGGGCTGGGTACCCGCAAAGGTCACTTCCGACGCTCAAGTCAATATGGTCTTGGTTAGAGCAACGAATTTTCTAATTTTTCTGCTTAGGAGGAAAAACGTAACTCTTTTTTATGGTATTCTGTGTGTCTTAAAGGATTAAAATAAAACCGTTTACCTGAAATCTTCGGGTGGTACCTTGGAGTTGGCTATCTATAAGTTATAACTGCTAGATATTGAGTCAAGTACTTCCATGATTCACTCGGCGCTGTTAGCCATATGCTTACTGTATTTTTAACGCGAGTCACATGTCGCATATGTTATGTCGGATCATCATGCGTGGTCGATCTGGGCGACGACGTGTCGAATGTCGAAGCCTCAACTGGTCGAAACGCCCATGGTACGTATGTTATTATAGTCGGTTGTCCTAGTGTCGACCAAACTAAGTGGTACGGATGGTCATTTACGGTTGATGGAGAATAGTCCTGCAGTTGGTTTTATTTAATTGTCGTCGGGTTAATTGTCGACGTTGGAGGTTAGGGTAACCCCTATAGTACATGCCCGCCCCACCAAGTCCGAGTAATGGGTGATGACGAGTTATGAAGACTTAAGTAATGTGTGAAGGGTATGAAGCTGTTAGGGGCGTACGAATTTTGGGTTTTCCCGCTGCTAGGGAAGTGGGGACGCGTGTAGTAGCGTTAGAATTAGAAAGGATCGGACGGGCGACCTGACCGAGTTAACGGTTTGGCTTCTTCAGCACGATTCAGAAGGAGGGTTATTCCACTTTTGGGAGGAACATAGTTGACATGTGCATCTGAGCGAGAGATTTTTTCTCTCTTCCTCACCGGGTACCCTGTTACGAGGAGTTACCGGTAAACCAAATTCCTTCATCTAGTTTGTTAGATTGTTGACTATGAGGAAAGGGGCAACATTGGGGCGGGACGCCGGGGGCCGTCATCTACGCGGGAAATGTCTTGAAATTCACACATGGTCCGATTTGGGGAGGAGGCTTTTAATAAGAATGTGTGTGTGAAGGACAGGGGGGCTACTGGGGGGCGGGCGTAATATCTCCGATTAGTGGAGATGATTAGACGCCTGGGTCGGCGCGTGTGAGTAAAGAAACTTAGAAGCAATTTAGGAGTGGGTTGGTGTTGCAGACTGGATTTGAAAATAGCTGCGTTGTTGCGAACCCTAGGGTAATCAACTTGTATAAAATTGATGCTCCGGGATGATTGGGAGTGTGCCTGGTGGGGAGAATGTTTGAGGATTCTTTTATTTTTTTATTTGTGTTATTCTACGATTTTATGTGGGCTGCTTTTATATTTACCAGCTTCCAATGGATGTCTGCGACCCTAAACGTTTTGCACAAGCTGTCAGTTGCAGCCACCCATAGTTGGGCCGTTATTGCAGGCTTGTCGCCATAGTGTGTCGGGGCACTGAGCTATTAGGCCACTGTAGGTTTGTCTTCTTTTCTGATTTCTTTAGATGTCGACCAGTACGCCACAAAGGGAGTGGGGTCATTGATTTCGGGCCGGGTAACGCGGTTGGAGCTATATCTGCAATCATATAGGAAATTTCAAAAAGAAAATGTTTTAGGTGTCGATACCGCTGTCGGCGACAGTTATTTTTTCGATGGTGAGGGGACCCTAGATTTCCCCTGTCTTGACGCAGGACCAACCGACTGAGAGTCACCTCTTGGACAGAGGATAAGATGACGTTGAAGAATTAAGGCGTTGAGTTGTGTTGACGCGTTGCCACGCCCTTTCGTCTCGTCAGCTTATTAATTGCCTCGAGTTCGACGACGCAGGGGCGAGGGTGTTTGTTATGTGTCTTTGACTTATCATTTTGTAACTTGGTTAGTTGTTGGAACCATGCGCGATGGGTTTTGGTGTTTTGCAGGAGATAATGGGGAGGAAAGGAAGTCGGTCGCAGTTGGTTTCAGGACCATCGACGATTGAGAGGGATGAAGGTAATCGTCCAGGGTCGTCCGCTGGCAAACAATGACCTCGCTGTGCCACCATTCTGGGCCACCTCCCGCGTGTGTGGTGGCATCGGCTGCGTGGAGAACGACACTTAAGCTGATGTGCTCTCGTGGGCACAAGGAAATGCCAGAGAAGGCGACATCAACCGCGAGGCAGCCCCCCAACAGAAAAGTAAGAGGTGGTTGAAGGAGAAAATGTAACGCCCCCTGCCGCCGGGGCATATGGGATCGTGCCTTATGCCTGGTCATCGGGTGACCTCAACTTGGTGTTGTTCAGAAGAAGAAGGTTGATATCGAAAACATGATGCGAAGCACAGATTGACTGAAGGCTTATGTTCTTTAAATAAGGTGGAGAAGCGGAGAAAGAAGAGAAGAGATGAAACACAAGAGCACAAGCGTTGGCGCTGCATCTAGCTTATGCTCGGATAGGGTCAGATGCGGTCTGAGTTAGAGAAGGTGCCGCCCAGCTGAAAGAGCTCGCCGAATCCATGCGGGCTGTGAGGCCAGACCAGAAGCGTAGTACACAAATGCTGAAGGAGGCGAGACATTGTTGAATAAGACGCGAGAAGCTGGTGTGGCCCTCCAACAAGAACGCTGATCAGATGGGTATGGATTCGGATAAACGAAGAACTCAATGTTGTTAGTGGCCCCTGCGAGAGAAAAACGCACGTAAAGGTAGAGATCTTTCTTGAAAAAATGAGGTGATCGAGGAGTTGAAGGATGCAATCACGGACGAACCTAAGAAAGGTTTCAGGAAGGCCTTGAGGCAAGTCGAGCACTTGCTTCAGGTATCAACCAAAGGAGCTGAATTTGACGTCCGGAAAGATGTGCTGAAGGTAATCTGAAAGCCTTTGAAGGAAATTCCGGATGACGCTGTCCTGGAGGGGGAAGAGAATGAAGAGGAGGTCGCCAACAATGAGCCTGAGGGAGCAAGGGAAGCTGACGAGCCTGCCAAAGAGACTGCTGAAGCTGTTGAAGGCGACGCCCCCCAATTGTAATATAGTAGGAATGTAATGTCTGCGTTATACATACTTGAGTATTTGATTGACGACTATGGAATGTTTAAACTTGGATTATTCACGAATGAGTAATCATTGAAATAACGGCATCTTTTGGGGTCGTTTAACTTAGCTGTTTGGAGATTGATTGGACTGTAGTGATCGCTAAGTGTGAAGTCGATGTGTATTGATAGACCCAGCGCCTTGTGTGACAGTGGAGAACGATCGTCGAGTGAGGAAAATATGGGGTGTCAAGGGGTGAACATAGGCCCAATGGGAGTGTATCACGAGACGGGGTGTCAAGGGTGACACATCGGCCATGAGTGGGAGTGTACTCCCGAATAGGACTGGGTGTCAAGGGTGACATCGGGCCAGTGGGAGCGCGTCCCGAACGACGGTGTCAAGAGTGAACAGGCCAGTGAGATGCTTTAGCCCTTTGGTATGGAATTGGAAGGTCTGGTACGAAACCCTGACTCGACACTAGAGTAGTGATAAATGAATCTAAGCAATAATCATGATGAAATATAATCTTTATTTGATAATTGAAGTTGATAGTGTTGTAAGAAGTATAAACAAGAAATGGATGTTAACTAAAGTAATATTTAAGGTGAGTGGCGTTCCAAGTGTTGGGAACTGGGTGGCCATCTCGAAGTTGGAGGACGATATGCGCCGTCCGTCACCATTGTCCTCCAGCAACCGAAAGGGTTCCCTTCACCGTTAGCTGCGAGGTTGCAATGGGCGGATTCTTCGAGCTTCTCCCCGCTTCCGCCACACCAAATCGCCGCTTTTGAAGGTTCTGGGTTTGACCTTGGTATTGTATCGTCGAGATAGCATGCGCTTTTGGGCCTCGTGAGGTGGCAACCTCAGGTCGTTCATGAAAGGACGTCGAGATTTGGGGGTCCGGGGTAATTGCTCTAATTAAGGCATATCAGGTGATTGGCGCCTCAATGAAGGCATCGCCACATCGACTGGAAGCTGGCGTCAGGGCCATAGGTTAAGTTTGAAGGCGTGTTCCCCGTAGATCCATGGGGAGGTACATCTGTATGCCCACAGGACCTCGGGTAGCTCATCCACCATAAACTCGTGGCTTCACCGAGTCGCTTTTGTAACTCTGCAAAATGGCTTATTGCGGCCCTCGGCTGGCCGTTGGTGTGAGGGTGCCCGACAGATGACCGTGACATGCTTAATGCCCAAACTGTGAGGTAATCTCTAATTGCGTGCGGATGAAGTGGCGACCGTTGTCGGTGATGATGTTCTGAGGGAGACCGAACCGACAGATGAGACGCCAAATGAACTTCTGCACTCGCTGGGCGTGTGATGACGGACAGCGGCTCCGCTTCTATCCATTTTGTGAAGGAGTCAACTGCCACGAGAGGAAATTGTTTTGCGCTTTGGCGTCGGCGTGGTCCAAGTAGTCGAGACCCACGGCGAGTCACGGCCAGGGAGAGACAATATTGTGTAAAGTCTTCAGGATGGGCACGGAGGTCGTGACATGTGCTGGGCAGGAAAGGCATTCTTGACGAAGGTCCGCAGTCGCGGTCAGAGAGTAGGCAGTAAGTTAAGGTAAGTAAGTAAGTAAGAGTAAAGGAGGTAATGATCCGGCGGCCGAAGAATACGTCCTCTTAATGTTACGTTCCCAGAGTGAATCCACACATCCCTTTTTGTTGTGCAGTTAGCGCAACACAGGTAGACCCTATTCTTCCGAGAGGCATTTCAGCAGAGGAGTGCTATGGCCGCGACGATATAGGTCGTCGCCTATACACACAAAGCGCGCAATGTGTTTGGAATCAGTCGCGGTAATGCTAACGCCTTTGTCCTGTCGTCCATGAGGTCTTTCACTTTCTGCCGCCAGTCTGTTATAGGTGTCGACACATTAGTGACAAAGCTTCCACCACAGGGCGGTCGAGTGTCATTCTAATGATTGAGGATAACTGCGCTCGCTCCTTAGAATGAGTTAATTTGGACAACAGGTCCGCTCTTACGTTTGTCCCTGGGTACTGGATGACAGTTGAGTGATTTTCGACAAAATGGGAGTAAAGTTTGAACCTTGTGGTAGTAACGCATAGCCGATTGTCCTGACTTGATAGATTCCATGACATGGTTGACGACCAATTGCGAGTCCATCCGACACTCTAAACGCTGTCGACCGCAAACTCCCGAGCAAGGGATAGGCCAGCATTAAGGCTTCGTACTCGGCTGGTTGTGCTAGTTGGAAACTGGGAAATGATGGCTTTGCTCTAGCCCACACATCTTGGCCCTCAAGACGTCACCGGCTCCTCCCCCCTTTTGGTCAGGGAACAATCACGGCGAGAGCCAATTTTGTCGTGCAGTTCTTGGTGAGGTGTTTATTCGGCTGCGAAACGCCAAAATGGCCCTTGGACAAGATCCGCGGGGTGTTAGCGAAGGCCGAATTTGACAGTTCCACTGACTCAAGCCAACCATGCGTCCTGCTTAAGTTGGCTTGCGGAGATTCTTGGCGATGGGGTTGATTGTGGGACTATCACTTGATGGCTCTGGAAGTATGGTCGAAGCGGCGGGAAGCGTGAGGCAACGACCAAGGACAAACTTCTCAATGCGGGAGGGAATAGCGTTCTCGGCCCCCTGAAAAGAACGACTGATGAGTAGATCAATTTAAGGAGGGTTGGTCTCTTGTATCAAGGCGGGCGCTAATCGCAATCGGGGAGGCTGCAAGATCCAGCTGTAGTGGATCCCTCGTCCGGTTCGGGCCATAATTTGAAGGACTGGTCAAGATGTGTGACAGATGTGAATGCAGTCTCGCAATCATTCTGTCTAAGTGTTGGGGGGAAGCCCTTTTCAAAGTTCTTAGGATGGGTTTAATGTATTCAGCCAGCCCTTGAATAAATCTGGACAGGGCGGGGTATAAGGCGTCATAACAAGACGTTGTACTTCTCGTTAGGGTCGTTGGAGCTGGCATGTCGAGCACGGTGTGACTTGTCGGGTTGGCGTCAATACCTCGGAGTGTCTGAGCTAAACCTAAGAATTTTCCTGCGGGGACGCCGCGAAGGACACTTGGAGGATTGAGGGCATGCTTTTGTAACGTCGGAGCTGGGGCAAAAAACCTCCTCAAATCTTGCAGGTGCTGTTCGACAGAGTTGCTGCGGATAACCATGTCATCGACATATACATCCATGCATCGCCCAATCTGGTGATGGAAAACTTTGTCCATAAGGCGCTGATAAGTAGCTCCGGCGTTCTTCAACCCAAACGGCATTACTTCATAACAGTAATTAGCGCGTTCGGTAATAAAGGCTGTGTCTGCTTTGATCGGGCTCGTACATCGGGATCTGGTTATAGCCTGAGTAAGCGTCGAGGAAGCTTAGTATTACATGACTTGAAGCTCCATCTACCAGACGATCGATGCTGGGTAAGGGGTACGAGTCTTTAGGACATGCCTTGTTAAGATCGGTGAATGAATATCGTATTTTATTACAGTCTCCAGGGCCGTTGGACTTTGACTTTCATTGAACTATTTTAGTTTGGACAGCCACGTAGTGTACGTCAATTCTTGATGAATTGGCATTAAGCATTTCCCAAACTCAGCTTGGATAGCCTGGCGTTTTCTATCCCCAGATCGTCGCTTTCTTCTGTGGCGAAAGGTAGGCCTCTCGGAAGATGGATAAATTGTGGGACATGACCACGGGATGGATTGCCCCCCCCCCCCCCCCCCCCCCCCCAGGGCATTCAGCAGCTGTCCATTGCGAAAGAGTCTGCGTTGTTCCGTAGAATGCGTTCACAAATCGTGACCTCTTGCTGGGGTGAGGTGAGGTGAGGTCTCCGCCAAGCTAGTGGTTTTGGAGGTGTTGTCGTTAAGGACAGGAGTTTTGCATTCGCTGGCGGGTAGACGGCTCGTTACGTGGTGCGGGGTCTAAATCGGCTGCAGTGCCTACGGGTCCATTTTTCCCTGCTGGTGGGACGAAGGGAGTGATTTTTAACCCGGCGACATAGCAGATGTCGAGCTGGCGCTGATCGGCCTCACTAGTACCAAATGCCACCCTGGTCTGTTGGGACTTAATGGCGAGGGAGCGGAGAGTAGTAGTACGATTGCCCCAAAGCGTTCAGACAAGGTAGTACTAGCAGGGCGTTTGTATGATGCATGCCTCGGACCAGCAGGAATCGAACTCAAGTTCGGTGCCCTTCTAGACTAGTTCGAGCGAGTTAGCAGGTCAAGGTATCACCTGGTGCTATCGAAACGTTATGAGAATCCGACAATCTGGCTCATTAAACGGGGCGATGAGGGGTCCTCAGCTGTAGGTCATTTTCGGAAAAAAGTGGACCAAATAAAAATGTTTTTGACCGAGATTCCTTGGCGACGAGGGACCTTGCTGACATCATACGAGCCTATATTAGCGGTGATGACAGAGATCATCATGATCAGGATCGGGGCATGGAAGTCAGCGTTCGGGAACGTGATGGTCGGGAGCGACAGAGCATGTCGATCGACCATATGGACCGGACTTCAACTGCGCAAAGTCGATTCCTCGACGAGCCGACACGCCTCCCCCCGCAAAACAACCAGAATGTGTCGAGGCGCCTAGGAATGAGCGCTATCTCTATTGCGTCGAGGGGTTGGACTTGCGCGATCGCTACGGTTGTCGATCATCTTAGGGGGAGATCGCGGT